ATGATATACGAATTTTGTATAGAATCTCATCACTGAATGCAAATAACCAAACAGGGAATGTGTTCATTTGATGATAAAAATCAATAGAAATTATACATACACATAAAAACACTCATGGACAAAACTTAAGAAAGTGGTGCCGTTTTGTATGTATATTGAGATTCAGACAATAACTCTAAGAGATACCCTCATGGACAGAACCTAAGGAAGTTGTGCCTTTTAGCATGTATATCGGGATTCAGACAATAACTCTGAAGGATACACTCATGGACAAAACTTAAGGAAGTTATACCTTTTAGCATGTATATCGGGATCGAGATAATAACTCTGAAAGATACACTCATGGACAAAACTTAAGGAAGTTGTACCTTTTAGCATGTATATCGAGATTGAGACAATAACTCTGAAATATATTTGATACATAGTGACCTTCATTTGAAACAAGCGAGAAAACAAAGTGTCTGATTCAATTTCTCTTGCATTTTAACTCTTTTGATAGCATTATGGGAACAAAACATTATTACTCATATGTAATTATGTGGAAAACTACCCGTTTCATGATTTTTCAGGATGCCTGAATGATCAGTGTTTTGGTTGTTGAGGTACAGCTTGCACCACGCTGATGAGTACCAACAGCCCAAAACGTATTCGTGGTTAGCCTTATTAATCAAGAATGTGTATTTGTCCAATTCTGGAATAATTAATAAAAATCAACAAATAGTTGATATTTATTCCGAAAGGAAGCGCCAGCCATCAGTAACTTTCAGTTATACGATAAGGATATTTCCCTTCTCTCAACTATTTGTAATTGTTTGTTGTTTTGATTATTTTGTATACACAGTCTTCTATTTATTGGATAAACTGTAGTAAATATCAATACTAACACTTGGACTAGTTAATACCTATAGTAGCGTTACTGGATAACGAAATACTTTAAAGCGTCTGGTGGCTCTTCTGTTACGACGCAGACGATCATGACGTTAGCGAAGTGAGTGAATTCAACGACACTTGGTGAAGAGGCTGAAAGAATTACAAGATGCCAGGGAGACATTTATGAAATTCTTGTCTGAAAACTATGATGAAAGAGTCAAGAAGTATAAACTCAGACTGAAGGAACCTTTGCGACGAGGGATTTGGTATTAATGACTGTTTCTAAAGGCAGGGGATCCTCTAATTTCTCCGCAGAATTCATGAACCTTTCCTTGTGGTGGCTAGGAGTGTATGAAGTAAATTTCAGAGTGCGGAAAGTCAATATACACGATGAACACATTTTTAATATTGAGAGAATGAAGGCATTCAGGCGAATGCGCCCTAGAATTTAGACACTATATAATTTTTAAAATAGAACAATCCATATATAAATCTTTAATTGAAATGACCTATATTGAATCAAAATATCATTTATTTTACCAATATTTCAGTTGGTGAACGCCATCCTTTTTCAAGGTATTATAACATTAATGTGTTACATAGACACAGAAAAAGGTTGGGGTTCAGCCAACTGAAATATTGGTAAAATGAACGATTTTTTATCCAATATATGCATTTTTAATTAAATAAACAATATTATATCATAAAAATCAGCGAAAATTAGTTTTTAGACTTTAATGCAAAGATAGAATAAATTAAATTAGGACGTCAGCGTCAAAGTCTTTTATCTAATTATTCTCTTAATATACAGAAATATCTGTAAAGTATTTTTAACGATATTCATTAGAATAAAATTAAATTGTCTGAATAGAGTAGTTTAAGATCTATATTTCACTATTTAATTACATTCTATATACAGTTACGAGTGTCATGCGTTCTTAATTCTTCATCTCTGTTAACTGTTTGCCTTTTTTTTTTTTGAAATGGCGCTCTCCTATTGGTTGGCTACGATCACGCCACCTTTGCCCCCCCCCCCCCCCCCCCCCCCCATCATGCCCCCCCCCACTTTTTTGGTTTTTGTAACTATTGTGTTGGAGCGGGTCGCTCCTTAAATAAATGCATATATTAGGTAATAACTAAATGGAATCCTCTCTTTCTTTTTCCCAGTAAGAGACGCCTACGGAAGCCAACAGTACATAGACAGATAAAGCACATAGGCTATAGTTATTAACTAATATAGGCATTTATTTAAGGCGCCAATTAATAATTGTAACAAATAGTGTTTGAATAAAAGCATTCAATCGGATAAAACACGGGCGTTGCCCGGGTCATTCGGCTAGTAGTATAGACGAATGGCCCGAATAACGCCATGTTTTGCTTCGTGAGAAATTTTACCCGAATGAATATAGAATAGTGAAACCAGTTTTAATAAATAATATTTATCATTAATTATATTTTATGAAAAAATCTTATATAATAAACTTGAAATTGGTACCATCTCAAATGAATCATAATTTCTATTTAATTAGTTTAAGAATTTCGCTGATTTAGAATTCATAAAAATGTTATGCTTTGCTCAGCTCTTACTCCATTCAGGATAGATATATCTTCATTTTGGTTGAATAACTATTTTCCTTTGATTTTTTTAATCATCCATAAAATTTCTTCAAACAATTACATCTGGCTGAATAAATTGTTAGTTAGTATCTATATTAGTGTTATGCATTTTTAATATGTTTACATTTTTGTTTAATATAATTATGATAAATAATTTGTTTAACTATATTCTCTCTGTTATTTTGTAACACCCTGTAATAACATGAATCAATGAATATTTTATCAGAACGAAACTCAATAAAGGAATGACAACATATCCAGATGGCACAATAACCTATAAGACATGCAACAATTGTCCTTGTGTGGAACTAACACCTACCTACTTAATTCTCATGTCCAGCAATGGCCTCAGCCTTACAGAAAATTAAAATGGACCCAGAACTTTACACAGCCAAGATAGTGGACATTGAAACTGCTGTGATAGAGATTTATGGAGACGTCTAAGGCTCTTCATTGGACACAACAACAACAGAAAATTGACATGGACCCAGAGCAGCAGCTTTACACACCCAATATAGTGAACATTGAAACTGCTGTGAAAGAGATACAGATACTAAGGCTCTTTTTTGGACACAACAACAACAACAAATATTTTAACATTAAGTTTTAATAAATAACTGAAAACCCATTTTCAATTTATCTAAATATGGACCTGTCAGTGAACTAAATTACCTCAAGGGAACGAGGGAAAATGTTATTTACTCAGTATTTATGCCGTAAATTATATCAGCTACATATGCGCTCTAAGTAAACATAAATATAATGCGTCTAATTTCCCCTGTTTATAATATGTCTATACCTTTTTTCAATTGTAGAAACCTGTCCGACTTTCAGCACCTGTGATAACCAGTGATTCATTGTCACACACACACAAACAAACAAATATTTATAAAACTAAATAAGGAATATATTTTGCAAATACGTATGTAATTGTATATATCAATATAGAATATCAAAAATATGTAGAAATTATTTTATTTCAATGGGTTTCCTTTTAAATAATTCATTAAATTTCATCTTTAAAATATTATTACTGCAATGATAAGGTATTTAGAGATAATATTTCATGATTTATATGAGAAAATACACAGCTCCAATAAAGACTTGATACAAATTATATCGATAGGTGGCCATTGAATTTATAAATGTAATAAGTTGTCAATATGAAATAATGAATTCAGGATATTTTGTCAAAGGTATTTAAACAAGTTAACAACAAACTGACTATGAATAGTTGAAAATTCCAATTTGTATTACCGTTTTAGGCTGAAAGGTATTCAAATATACACCAATACCTCGCTTTGCGTTTTTTTCGAAATTGCGTCGCTGCTTAATTTTTACTGATTTTCACTGTGCGTCTTTAGATTTTCGAAGTTGCGTTGTTTTGGATTCGAGTCTTTAATTTTTTTATTATTTTTTTTCCCTAAAATATGGCAACACCTTTGCTTTTGATTGCGCCTTCACATATTTTCACTTTGCGTCGTGTTTTTTGGATCGTAACCCCGACGCAAAGCGAGGTATGGGTGTATTCGATTTTTTTGTTAAATGTTCTATCCGTACGTGAACATGAAAAAACAACCAGGCTATAAAAGCAATTCCGATTCTCTCATCTGATACTTGATAATTTGATATGATAATTTGAACATCTAATCTTATTTTAATATCTAAGGTGTTAAAAGGTTGTTGTACATTTCTATTGTGTTATTTAAGTTCATTTGGAATTCAGATGGTATAATTAAAGGTTATTTATATGTATAGGTATTTAAAATAATCGTGTATAGAATAAATATTTTTATTCAACGTATAGTCTACAATTCCATTTTGATTATTCAATTGAAATGGCATAGAAAAGCTTAAATGGAAAACGTATGAGCACCTAAATAGGAATCTTTATATATAAATTTGAATTATATTATCGAATATATATTTGCATTCCTCTGCTGAGTTAAATATAAATTTACGGTTAAATTAAATTGGTACTCAAATAGGTAAAATCATTTGAATTATTATTTTTTTTATTTTGTTGAATATATGTATGCAATATTGTAAAATAGCGTGAGTTTGTTTTATTTTGCTATAATTGGAGTGGATTTATTTATGTACAATTCGTGAAATAGGGAAATACAATACGGCTATGATCATAGAACGACGTTTAACAAGTTTTTACCGAAAATGTTTCTTTTTACAGAACGAAAAATCATAATTTTAATTATTTTAAAGAGAAATAACGACTATTTCTATCCTAGGGATGAAGTGTGAAAGGATGAATTGTGAAGGGTAAAGATGAATGGAAAAATAAAAGTTTCCAGGGATGGGAATCGAACCCACAGAGTTCCGCTTATCGGGAAGATGTTATATCCACTAGTCTACCCTGGACATATTTTTCCGTTCGTAAATATTATAAAAAGTTAATTTATAATAAAATATACTCCATATTTATTAATTAATTAATTATTTTTCGCTTATCTCTAGTACACGTGGTGCAAGCCATTATAATCATGGTGGGTAGTTAGCGAATGCTTTTACTGTAAGCGCACTACATGTCTACACATGTGAAAAACAGTTTAACTTTGAACTTACAAATGTGCCAGAGCCACGTTTGGTTACTTGCACTCGCTGGTGGGGTTGAACCTTTGCAAGAATCAGGGGAGATTGGAGCATTTTCTTTTTAAACAAAAAAAGAGTGTCCAATGCGGAAATCGAACCCGGGTCGTTAGTGGTCGAAAACTAAACGGTTTAACCAACCTTCCACCGACCCCCTGTATATATTTATGATTGGTAGGATATATAGTTGAAAGATGTAATACTTTGTTATTTTAGATTCAACAAGCTTGTTGTATAGGCTCCTGAAGGAAGACCTTTAATCACAAGCTGTTGTGTGAGTGAACTTTTAGAAAAGGCGCTCACGACCAGATTAAAACGCTGCCTTTAAAAATGCTCGTATTATTGTCTCCACCTTTTACTTCTTATTCTTAGTATCCGTGGTAAAATCTATGATAATCCTGATGGGTAGTTAGCAACTGCTTTTCCTGTAAGTATACCACATATCTGCACATTTGTAAAGAAGTTCGACATTTGTAACATGCTTTGTATTTATTTATTTATGTAAAAAATCTTAATATTCTTTGATTTTTCTTATAGTTAGGCAGTCGACACACTATACTTTATTTCTTTCTCCAATTTTACATAAAATTTGTTTATTTATTATTGTTAACCTTTATAAGACAATATAATTCGGCTAATGATTGTAAAACGACGTTAGAGAAGTTTTACCGCAAATGTTTCTTTTGAACGAAAAATCGTATATTATTTTAAGGAGAAATAACAACTATTTCTATCCTTAGGGATGAAGTATGAAAGGATGTATTGTGAAGAGTAATGATAAACGGAAAAATAATTTAAATATATTAATATACATCTCTATATATATATAAAAATGAATATTTGTATGTCTGTCTGTATGTCCGGTATACAAATTCGCAGTAGTTCACTAATTCAAACCAAAATTTCCATACATAGGTAAAATAATACGGGGAAGACGATAGGCTATTTTAAAAAATATATAAATCAATTATTAAAACTATATATTTTCATTCAGAAAATGATGATGACGATATTGCTGTATCATGTTTGATTATCAGCTACAAAATTATATCGGGAAAATATTAATATTAATATCTCTATATATATAAAATTGAATGTTTGTATGTCTGTCTGTATGTCCGGTATACAAATTCGCAGTAGTTCACTAATTCAAACCAATATTTCCATACATAGGTATAAAATACGGGGAAGACGATAGGCTATTTTAAAAAATATATAAATCAATTATTAAAACTATATATTTTCATTCGGAAAATGATGATGACGATATTGCTGTATCATGTTTGATTATCAGCTACAAAATTATATCGGGAAAATATTAATATTAATATCTCTATATATATAAAAATGAATGTTTGTATGTCTGTCTGTATGTCCGGTATACAAATTCGCAGTAGTTCACTAATTCAAACCAATATTTCCATACATAGGTAAAAAATACGGGGAAGACGATAGGCTATTTTAAAAAATATATAAATCAATTATTAAAACTATATATTTTTATTCAGAAAATGATGATGACGATATTGCTGTATCATGTTTGATTATCAGCTACAAAATTATATCGGGAAAATATTAATATTAATATAATATATAAAAATGAATGTTTGTATGTTTGTTTGTCTGTCTGTATGTCCGGTATACAAATTCGCAGTAGTTCACTAATTCAAACCAAAATTTCCATACATAGGTAAAAAAAAATACGGGGAAGACGATAGGCTATTTTAAAAAATATATAAATCATTTATTAAAACTATATATTTTCATTCAGAAAATGATGATGACGATATTGCTGTATCATGTTTGATTATCAGATACAAAATTATATCGGGAAAAATTCCAAAAAGCAGAGACCACGGGTGAAACCAGTTCATTATTTTGGACGCAGGACAAAATTCTAACAGAAAAACATTTATTCGAGCAGAAAACAAAAGCTAGATCATCTTTCTATAAATATATCGCTTCTCAGACACAAAGTTTGGAGCGGGACGTTTCACAAGAGTGACATCCACGGCGCCAATTTATAATTGTAACGAATAGTATTTGAATAAAAACATTTAATCGGGTAAAACCCGGGCGTTGCCCGGGTCATTCGGCTAGTAATATATAAATAAAAATAATTATTTTCCGTTCATCATTACTCTTCACAATTCATCCTTTCATACTTCATTCCTAAGGATAGAAATAGTTGTTATTTTTCCCTAAAATAAATTAAGATTTTTCGTACAAAAGAAACATTTGCGGTAAACCTTGTCAAACGTCATTATGGTTAACCATGCCATTTAATTAAACATTAAAACACAATGTATTTTGATTATGCCTCATTTCTAAATAGGAAACTCTACAGTACATATAAACGTAACATATCTGCGTTTAGTTACATGCACTCATTTCAACTTCTGCAAGATTCGGAGGTTATTGAACTAATTTTAAAAAAAGTGGCAAATTCGGGATTCGATCCTAGATAGTTGATATAATGAATCGACTACTTTTGCCACTCGTCCATTGACCCGGTGTGAAATATGATTAAATAATCCATTGTTGAAGTGAGGGTAGTTCCAATTAGGTAATTCAGTGTCGCCCAGCAACCCGACACAACAGTTGCCTTTGATCCTTCAGAGTTTATCTATCTATTCTCACTATAGCTAATTGCATATGGGTAGTGTAAGTTGACTGAGTGCATTAAACAAATTCTTAATTTGGTATGCAACTCAGGTAATCCCTATACCAACAATCACTTTGTTTATTACAAATAGATTATAATAATTATAAATCCACTGAATTAAAACCTACTGGAATATTTCAAAATGATTATTTTATACGAATTATCACTCATGGATGATACATATGGAAGTTTTATATTTTGCTGTCGTTGATCGTCTGTTTTTCTTTAAGAAAAAAGAGGGGAATTGTTCAAACTTGGTTATCTAGTGTGTCTTCAATATATATTTTGTTGTGTACTAGTGTAGTGTTTAGTAGTTATAAAAGCTTATGTTAGAAATCAATATATGCCTATATATGCCTATATAATAAACAGGTATATGCATAAAAGATATATATTCTCCCAATCTCTACAAATATTTTATTCACGATCGAACGTTGTGGCCCACTGTACGTATTACATCCCAAACACGACGCCAGCCATCTCTGTCTTGAGCTCAATGTAACATCTCGGCGACCGTTAAGCCAGTGAATTCCTTTAATTGGTCCACGAAGCGTGTTGGCGGAGTCCATAGTATAAACTCCTAATATATGTGAGAAAAATATTCAAAATTGCTGGAATAGATTTGGGTGTCATTGAAGAAGGAAGGTGAATCTTTCATTAGGCGGCAGCTGTCTGGAAAAATGAGGAAATAGACAGGTACCTTATTGACATGGATGACTTGAATGGGGCAGGAGACTTTAAATTCCGGCGAATATCTCCCCTATTTGCATACCCATGCACTTCAGGAAAGAGAAAAATATTTATAAAATCCTCAATAACCATCCATAAAACACCAAACAATATATTAATGTGAAGAATATAAAAACATATCATTAAATTATATATTTATTATAACAAATTAGTACATGGAAATTTTAAGGGAATTTTATCAGAAATTGGAGCGGTTGAAGACTCTAGCTGTTATTGTGGCAACGAATTCCAGGACTTAAGACACCTACTACTGGAATGCCCACTCTTCTACACCGCTAGACAACAGACATTAAATAATGTTGTAGATCTATATCAATTTGTAAATAGCAGAGATAATTATCATAGGTTTAACTATTTTTGTAAATATATTTATGATTATCTTTCAAACCTGAAAGGTTCGGGTTCCTAATATATATTATTGTTTCTCTTTTTTTATCTTTAATTATTTTTTCTTGTATAATATGTTTATAACTGTTTCGGTTTTCAAAAAAAAAAAGTAAATCAACGCAAATATCCCTAGCCGGGATATCGCGTTTTGTGTGTTGTTGAAATAATAAATAAAAAAGTATATATTTATTATAACAAATTAGCATATATTAACTCATGAAAGAGACTAAGGAAATAAGAAGGATTAATATATATTTTTTGAAGGAGATTAAGATAATAATACATTTTAACGCCTTGCCAAATGTTTCAATTTTTGTTTGCTCCTGACGTGATCAAAATATTTTTGTCGAAACGTCGAGATAATAAAAAGATTTACAGACTAAAGTATTTAACTATGAATACCAGCCAGGCAGCCTCAATCTTTACTTTAAGACAATTTTGTTCAAACTATGTTATCTCGTGTGTCTTTAATAAAGGTTAGTGTATCAAATATCTTTCATATATATTGTCTGAATTCCGATTTAGATTAACAGCAGAATAGTTTATAAAACTTTGTAACTTATGTTATCTACTAGGTGTAAGTTTCTCTTTCGGTCTATAGCGTTTTGATGTTGATATAAATGAATAAAAACGGAGTTATTACATTTTTGTAAGTACAATATCGAAATACTTTCCTCAACTGTAGATTTCTGACATACACAGGTATAGTAAAAGTAATAGGTAACTACAACCCATCAAGAATATCTTAGACTATACAATGTGTATCAGTGATAATAAATAACTCAAGATATTATACCTTTTATCATTATTAAGGTAAAATCATTTTACTTCCAGGGATTTTTCAGTTTTTTTTTTTTTAAGTTTCTTACACTTTCATATAAAATTATGTAAAATAATAGAGATAGTTATGATAAAGTTTGACGTTCAGCCAGCCGAAAATTTTGGTGAAATAAATATTTTATTAAATTCA